CGCCAAGGAAAGTCCTATCCGGACACGGGACGAAGTCTTCAATCTTGTATCTTCATAGTCCGGAAGTCCGGCCAAAGGTCATAGTCCGGCCATCCGGACACCCCCTAATCTAGGACTCCCTCAATAACCAAAGCATGGTTAGCGACGACAAACAAAGGCAACCGACGGCGGAGGTCGACACATATGAGCCGACAAGGACCTAGGAATGCAATTGTTGAGTGGGGTAGCTCCAGGGTATCTAGGGGATGATCTGGGATGAGGAAATTGAGCGGGGTTTCACCGGACATGACGGATTAGACAGAATGGGCACAACGACCATTGTCGCTGGAGTTTAAACAATGGCAAGTTGAAAAATTTCTAAGTTGTAGTTTAATGATTGCTCACCTCCAAAACAAAAACACATGTATGCAATGTTACTCAAAGCTTTGCATTGGTGGATTTCTTACATTGTATCAATCAAATGTAGTGTTCCAAATTAGATTTCCTTCGTTCTGGCAAAAAGCAAAAGATTTCCTTACGGACTCAATGATTCGGGGCCGATCTGTCTTCTTAACGTTAGTTTCAAAATTTTCACCAAAGTCAGGACAAATAGGCTCACACAGATTGCGCATTCGGTGGTGCAGCTCTCTCAAACTGCTTTATGCCGGACATAAACATCCTAGAAGGGGTTGTGGTCTGATACGTCTCCGTCGTATCTATAATTTTTGATTGTTTCATGCCAATATTATTCAACTTTCATATACTTTTGGCAACTTTTTATATTATTTTTGGGACTAACATATTGATCCAGTGCCCAGTGCCAGTTCCTGTTTGTTGCATGTTTTATGTTTCGCAGAAACCCAATATCAAACGGAGTCCAAACGGGATAAAAACGGACGGAGAATTATTTTGGAATATTTGTGATTTTTGGGAGGAAGAATCAACGCGAGACGGTGCCCGAGGGGGGCACGAGACAGGGGGCGCGCCCAGGGAGGTAGGCGCGCCCTGGACTCTCCTGGGCCCCCCGTAAGGCGATTGCCGCTCTTCTTTTGCCGCAAGAAAGCTAATTTTATGAGAAAAATCTGGGCGAAAGATTCACCCCAATCAGAGTTACGGATCTCTGGATATAAAAGAAACGGTGAAGGGGCAGAATCAGGAAACGCATAAACAGAGAGATACATCCAATCTCGGAGGGGCTCTCACCCCTCCCATGCCATGGGAGCCAAGGACCAGAGGGGAGACCCTTCTCCCATCTAGGGAGGAGGTCAAGGAAGAAGAAGAAGAAGGGGGGCTCTCTCCCCCTTGCTTCCGGTGGCGCCGGAGCGCTGCCGGGGGCCATCATCATCACCGCCATCTTCACCAACACCTCTGCCATCTTCACCAACATCTCCATCACCTACCCCCATCTATATTCAGCGGTCCACTCTCCCGCAACCCGCTATACCCTCTACTTGAACATGGTGCTTTATGCTTCATATTATTATCCAATGATGTGTTGCCATCCTATGATGTCTGAGTAGATTTTCGTTGTCCTATCGGTGATTGATGAATTGCTATGATTGGTGTGAGTTGCATGTTTTATTATGGGTGCTGTCCTATGGTGTTCTCCGTGTCGCGCAAGCGTGAGGGATCCCCGCTGTAGGGTTTGCAATATGTTCATGATTTTCTTATGGTGGGTGGCGTGAGTGATAGAAACACAAACCCGAGTAAGTAGGTTGTTTGCGTATGGGATAAAGGGGACTTGATACTTTAATGCTATGGTTGGGTTTTACCTTAATGATCTTTAGTAGTTGCGGATGATTGCTAGAGTTCCAATCATAAGTGCATATGATCCAAGAAGAGAAAGTATGTTAGCCTATGTCTCTCCTCAAATAGAATTGCAATAGTGATTATCGGTCTAGTAAAGTAGTCAATTGCTTAGGGACAATTCCACAACTCCTACCACCACTTTTCCACACTCGCTATATTTACTTTATTACTTCTTTATCTAAACAACCCCTACTTTTTATTTACGTACTCTTTATTATCTTGCAAACCTATCCATCAACACCTACAAAGTACTTCTAGTTTCATACTTGTTCTAGGTAAAGCAAACACTAAGCGTGCGTAGAGTCGTATTAGTGGCAGGTAGGACTTGAGAGAGTATTTGTTCTATCTTTAGCTCCTCATTGGGTTTGACACTCTTACTTATCAAAAGAGGCTACATTGATCATGTATACTTGCGGGTTATCATGGTCCTTCATGAAACGCTCCATGAAATTCACACGAAAAAAACTAGATGGAGTTGTTTTCAAGGTGGATTTCGAGAAAGTGTACGATAAAGTCGAATGGCCTTTCCTTCAACAGGCCTTACACATGAAAGGTTTTGATGAAGCCTGGCGACGACAGGTTGAATCTTTCACGCAAAAAAGAAGTGTTGGAATTAAAGTGAATGACGACATAGGTCATTATTTCCAGACACATAAGGTCCTGAGACAAGGTGATCCGATGTCTCCTATCTTGTTCAATATTGTAGTGGATATGTTGGCAATTCTAATAGGAAGGGCTAAGGAGGCTGGTCAGGTGGGTGGCTTGGTGCCTCATCTGGTGGATGGAGGTGTGTCCATCTTACAGTACGCCGATGATACTATCATCTTTATGGAGCATGACTTGGTAAAAGCAAGAAATATGAAGCTGGTGTTATGCTTATTTGAATTGACCGGGTTAAAGATTAACTTTCATAAAAGTGAATTGTTCTGCTTTGGAAGAGCCGAGGAGGAATAAGAGGTTTATAGGCAATTGTTGCGAATTGGGGGCCTTACCTTTTACGTATCTAGGTATACCAATCATCATCGTAAGCTGACAAACAGAGAATGGAAGTGTATTGAGGATCGATTTGAGAAGAAACTGAGTTGCTGGAAGGGCAAGCTCATGTTATACAGAGGCCGATTAATTCTTATTAATTCGGTTCTCATGAGTATGCCTATGTTTCTCTTGTCTTTTTTCGAGGTTTCAGTTGGAGTTAGGAAAAGGCTGGACTTCTATCGATCCCGATTCTTCTGGCAGAGTGATGAGCTAAAAAGAAAATACAGACTCGCCAAATGGGATATCATTTGTCGTCCAAAAGACCAAGGGGGTCTTGGTATTGAAAATCTTGAAGTCAAGAATAGATGTCTTCTCAGCAAGTGGCTGTACAAGTTATCTCTAGAGAGTGAAGCCACATGGGCACAGATTCTCCGTAGTAAGTATCTTCACTCCAAAACATTGTCCAAAGTGACAGCAAGGCCGACAAATTCGCCTTTTTGGAAAGGGCTGATGAGAGTCAAATCAGCTTTTTTCAATAGGACAAAGTTTTTAATTGGAAATGGCGCCAGCACGCGTTTCTGGGAGGATACTTGGCTAGGAGAGACACCCCTTGCGCTTCAATACCCATCGCTCTATAGTATTGTTCAACGACGCGACGCGTATGTTGCAACAGTACTTCAGTCCACCCCCCCCCCCTCAATATTCAGTTTAGGAGGACACTAGCCGGTAATCGTTGGGAAGTTTGGATCCATTTAGTGAGTAGACTGATGGAGGTCCAGCTGTCTCAACAAACCGATCAGTTGCGCTGGAAGCTTACTAGGACTGGGGAGTTTACAGTTAAATCGATGTATCTCGATGTTATCAATTCTAGTTCCATTCCTAGTTCCAAACATGTTTGGAAAGTCAAAGTTCCGTTGAAAATTAAAGTGTTTATGTGGTTTGTACATAAACAAGTCATCTTAACCAAGGACAATTTGGTAAAGCGCAACTGGACAGGACCTACTAGGTGTAGTTTTTGTGATCGGGATAAAACTATCAAACACCTTTTTCTTGACTGCCCGCTGGCAAAAGTGCTATGACGGACGGTGCACATAGCCTTTAATATTACTCCTCCGAATGCTGTCAGCACGTTATTTGGAACGTGGCTTAACGGGATAGAGGCCGAAACAGCGAGACACATTCGCGTAGGAGTATGTGCTTTATTGTGGGCAGTCTGGAACTACAGAAATGACCTGGTTTTTAACAGAACAACACATTTTTATTTTTTGCAGGTTATCTTCCGAGTCACTGCGTTGATTCGTATGTGGTCGCTACTCACTCCGACGGAGGCCAGGGAGCGTTTGGTTACTGGATCTATCCGATGGGAGATGGTAGCACGGGATATTTTCAACCGATTTGGATGTCGGTCAGGCAATAGAATAGGCAATTAGTTTTCTTATCTTGTTTATGCCGGCCGGTTGTGGCGCTATGATTGCTTTTTTAGGCTCTTTGTGAGCTCTTCTTTATTTTCATTGTGACTTTAAGACCTCTGTTAAACTATTTGCTTTTTAATAAAAGTTGGCTATATGCATCGTTCTGATGCAGAGGCCGGGGAGTCCCCTTTTTGAAAAAAAAACTCAATGATTCGGGGCTAGTGTCTCCAAAGGATGTCACGAGAGAAACATGACAAACGATCGGCAGAAAATCTGCAGTGCACCAAAATTAGAAAAATGGAAGTAAAAATATAGCAGGTAGAGATCCACACACAGATACACATTACACTTGTTGAAAAAACTTGTTCTTTCTCTTTGTGTTCTTTTACCACTACTAGCAAGTATCAACCGTGAAGCAAACATACCTGCCCGTTTAATGTAAACATGAACAGTTGATTCAGGCGTTTAATATAAACAAGAACAGTTGATCCAAGCTTGCCGCTGAATGATGGTTGCCAGCCATCATTTTGGTCATAAAATCATCGTAAAAAATAAGAATTATAGAAAACAGAATGTAAATGAATTGTAGATTTTTTTAGAGGTGTAGATTTTTGTAAGTTTTTTTTAAGGGCTATAAAACAAGCCTGATTGGTATTACGGGCTTGATAGGCCCTACTTTTCTAATTCGGGCTGGACCTGGATGGGCCTTGGTTGACAGGCCATGGCCAGGGAGGGGAGGCATCGACTTTTCACTCCATCCCCATCGACCTGTGCCTCGATCCCCTTTCAATTCTTACCCAAACCCTAAACCCGCGGAGACCAGGAATGGAAGGAGAGGCGCAGTCGCCGCTGGGTCTGGGCGGAACGGGGGGCGACGCGCAGCCGCCGCTGGGTCTGGACGGAACGGAGGGCGACGCGCAGCTGCCGTCGGCGTGTGTGTCCAAGGTGCTCGACGACGACAACCTCCTGACGGAGATCATCGTCCGCGTCGGCTTCCCCACCAGCCTCGTGCGCGCCGCCGGCGTCTGCAGGCGCTGGCTCAGCCACGCCTCCGATCGCGCTTTCCTCCGCTGTTTCCGCGAGCTCCACCCGCCCACACTCCTCGGCTTCTACATCAAAGGCCTCCATAAGGGGGCCACACGCTTTGTCCCAATGCTGCCTCAGCCCCCGGAGCTCGCTGCCGTCGTCCGCCGCGCAGACTTCCGCTTGGACACCTACGACTCAGATACCAATCAGATGTTGATGGCGGTCTGCCGGAACGGCAGCGTCGTCACCAGCTGGCACAAGGTAAAAAGCCCCAGAGATGAAATTGCATTTACAGTGCAATACCCGCTGTGCTATGGTAGAGATATGACCATCCTCCCAGGATTAAGCCTCACAATCGAGGAATTCGGTTACTCCACCACTTGGACACGGCTCTTCTCCAAAGAAGAAGGGGATGGCTTGTCCATCTTTTTTCTCGTCGTGGAGATCATAAGAAAACCTGTGCATGTGTATACGTTGCAAAATGGTGATGGTGCCTGGCGCAAACATCTTACCTTGGCCGACTGCGACCTGCATCCAGGACTTGGTTGCAGAGCTGTGCTGTCCGGCAACAAAATCTATGCGGTGAGCTCAATGAAAGACATTGTTGTCGTGGATTTGAAGGCCTCAATCTCATCGACAATTCCGGCCCCACACGGGGTGGATTTTGAACTACTGGACACCGTCATGTTGCCGCGGGCTGATGATGGTTCTGGTGTGTATCTCATCCATATCAAGGAGCTTCAACTTCACATCTGGCTCCACAATGGGGACAACTGGTTGCTGGTGGACACCATTTGCTTGACTGAAATATGTGCTGATTTGCTTGAGGATGATTCTAGTGTTGATTTCACGATTATCCATGTGGGGGACTATAATGAGTTTGTGTTCTTGGAGATGGATCAATGCATACTCTACTTGGATATCAAACGCAGGACCCTGCGCAGAGTGTCAAGGGAGTATGATTTGTTTGAAATCTATCCTTTTATGATGAGCTGGCCTCCCATCTTCCCTGTGCTCATGGATAGCCCTTCAAGGTTTGCCTTTTGCCTTTTTTGTGATCTGTATAGTTTCCTTGTAGAGGTCACCTAGTTTTGTAATGTGCGTTGTGCATGTCATTGTTCGCCGTAGCTGTGTGGTGGTGTTACATATGTGATTGGTTCCTTGGGCCTCTTTAACTATACTAGTTCCGTGATATTAGAGAATGCTTGCCGCAAGATTATTTGAAATCATTTAACGATACTAGAGGCGACACTAGTGAATGCTTGATGTAACGTGATTTGAAATCACTTGTGAATGAGGAATATTGCAAGGTGTCTACTTGTGGTCATAGTCTCTTGCGTGTGGTTGTCGGGGTGTAATGGGTTAGTTGCAAATGACGTCGTGGATAGATAAGAGAAGAAAGAGAAGCAGGAGTTATCGAGGGATGCAGATTTGTTTCTTAGCTACTAAAAGATTACAGAAGTCCCCCTTTAGATATGCTACCATGGTGGATCCGCAGTTGACTTTTACATCCCTAATGCTACTCAGATGGCTACACATATCCGAATCCAACTATCACCCATATATTTTCACCCTTAATAGTTGCAAAATTGCACATTATAGTGTCAATGGTAGTTGTCGTTTGCTAGACCACTCTATGGAATGCTTACTTTTGTTAAACCTTGTGCTGGCACCAGAAGTCATGCTTCCTGAACTTGGTCTTAGTCTCATAGTAGCAATTTGTAGTTGTGCTGAAAAGTGACTTGCTGTATCACAGTTTACCTAACAATCAATGCAGAACTGAAAATGGGAGGTGCACAAGTATAGAACATAATGAGAAGATTAAGAGCTGAAAAATGCCTAGCCTTGTCAATGTGTCTACTTTGTTCACCACTATGTTTTCTCCCTTGCACAGAAATGGTCAGGAACCCATCATGCCTGGAATTTTAGCTTCCTATTTCTTAAATATATTCATGGTGAAATTTTCTACAATCTAAATCGCAACAGTGAACCAGAAGCTATGTATGGGATTGCTAATACTTTTTTCTTTTCTTTTGTTCTTCTGAATGTTGCCTAGTGGATTGTATATCTTGAACACAAGTGGTTGATTTAACGCCGGTTCTCTCTAGCTTCTTCATTATGTGTGATTCAGATATATCACAGTGAAAATTCATTTTATTTTCTAGGCGCACCAAACATTTAACTATCGTCGGACTAGCCACTCGTCTTGTTAGCCCATCTGATATTTTGATGCTCAACTAATGGCAAACCGAATATATCCTGATGCCCAATTACCTTTATCTTGACCCTCGCTCTGTTTTCTCCGAAACAGGGATGCCACTTGAAGAAGGGTACGATCGAGGAAACCTTTTGGATGAGCTGTGACAAGGGTGCCACCAACGAAGAGCACATGGCTGCACATGTATGCTATGCAACTGGAGAAGGTACTCCTTCCCTGTGGTATCTGTGTTGTTACTGTTGTTGTCCGCTGCATTTGGGAAGCGACTTGTTCTGTATGTTGAGAGTTGCGATCTCATCTGATCTACTCCCTTCGTATCAAAATATAAGACGTTTTTAGTACTTGTGTTGCAGTCTTATGTGGCTCCACACCTTGCAACCTGTGACAATTGGGACAAGTGTCTTTCAGTTGAGAGATGCGCAGCCATCTCTGCTGTAACAGTGAAACAAAGTTTGGTTGAATCGAGAGTCTCTACTCCACATGACCTGCTGCTGGTTGACTAGTTAAATAAGGCTTTGCTACTTTGTTGTCTGTACTTGCACAGGCTCATGTAGATGGATGAACACGTAGCAGAAATCTCTTGTAGATTCATCAGATAACAGTACACAATCGTGCTGAAGTCTCGAATTAGAAGGCCGACCCTAGGGCCACGGGCCCGTGTAATCCGCGAACGGGCTGGCGCTACTCACGCTACCGTAGCTTGTTCTCTGGTGCTCGACGCCCATGTAATCCACCACGCGCACGTCGTCGCCGGCGGCGGCTCGCCGGCGCTCATCGTCCATTGGGTTGTCCGCGCCGCTGACCGCCGGTCCAGCGTTCCTTGTGGTGCCGCCGTTGGCCCCGTCGTTGTAGAGCTGGCCAGGCATCAGCCCGCCGACGCCGAACCCGACCACCCCGTCGTACGCGCCGAAGGCTCTCGTCGGCCCCCCGAACGGCCCCCCGGTGCAAGGAAAGCGGTCGAGCGCGGCCATGGTGGACGCGAGGCCCGGGTGGCCAGGGGTGAAGCTCACGCCGTAGCCGCTCGACGTCGTCGCGCCCATCTGGGCCGCCTTCTGCAGCAGCGCCGTGGCGGACATGCTCGCCAGGCCGCCCATGGAGGCGGCGTCGCTCGGCCCTGCCTGCAGGCCCAGCATGCTCAGCCTGCTGCTCGGGCTGAAGGCCGACGGAGCGGCGCCGAGGCTGGACAGCATGCAGCCCAGCGGGTTGTCGGCGTCGGCTGCGTCGGCGTCGTAGTCGGAGAACATCTTCAGGTGCGGGCTCTTTATGTCCGGCTCGAAGGCGGAGGCCTCGTCGGCGTCCATGTCGAGGTCATCGGCGTGGGTGGACGGCAGCATGAGGTTGTGGTGGTGAGCGTGCTGCTGGCCCTGGAGCGCCGAGGCCACCGTGGCCATGTTCATGGCCGGCTGCGCCAGCTTGCTGTTCTCCTGCGCCAGCGCGTCGCAGAAGGCCCGGTGCGTCACGAAGCTGTCCCTCCTGCATGACGTCACAAAGTTCGATGATACATCGCCGGAGCCGGCGGACGCATGCAACGGACGGCGACGGAGGAAGCCGGACGGACCTGGAGAAGAGGGTGCCGCAGTCGCAGCGGTACTCGCGGGTGCCGCAGACCTTGGCGTGGGCCTTCCAGTCGGAGTGCACGGCGTAGCGCTTGGCGCAGCGGTCGCACTTCCACTTCTTCTCGCCGTGCTTGCGGCAGAAGTGCTTTTTGATGCCGGTGAGGTCGCCCAGCGCGCGCCGGGGGTCGTGGTGCACGCACGCCGGCTCGGGGCACACGTACGCGCGCTTCCGCGGCGCCGCCCCGCCCTCGGCGCCGCGCTGCCGGAGCTTCCACGGCAGGTTGTGGCCGCGGCGGTGCAGCTGCAGGTTCTGGTCGCGCTGGAAGCCCTTGTGGCAGATCTCGCACACGAACCGGTTCGTCGCCATCAGCGTCCGCGGCGACAGCGCGATCACCTCCGCGCTCGGGTCTGCATGCAACAAATGCATACCACACTTGAAAATTTCTACCCCGGCCCAAAATCAAAGCCACGTGGCGTGAATACTAAGCATTTCTAAGCGATCTTCCCTAGATAATTTCGAGGTCATTAGCTAAGAAACTTGATTAACCATTTCTCGATCGCGTTACTAAACCTAGACCATAGGCTCCACTCTATAGCCAACTCATTAATAATCGTACAAGCAAATCTACGAACAATCTAGTGGAGTATATTGTTGAAACAGACGCGTACAGTATAGTCTTGTCATTCCCGTCATGGTTTTCAGTGTCAAGAGACTTGGACGTACTGACTGACGAACACTGGCTGCCACTATTGACTTTGACAAATCAATAATTGTAGTCACAAGAAGAAGTAAACACAAAGTTCATGCAAAGAGAAAGAATTCAGGAACTAAAACCACACGAATTTAGCGTGTAAAGATCTCCAAGAACAAATATACTACCTCCATTCTAAAATATAGTGCGCTCGCGCTTTCCGACATTCAACTTTAACCATAAATTTAACCAACAAGACCGACTGCGGTGGGAGAAAAAATTATATAATTGAAAAACTTTTTTTGAATATGAATTCACCGGTGTCACTTTTGCTCCTGCTGTAGCCGGTTTTGTTAGTTAAATTTATGATCAAAGTTATATGAAGGATGGGTTCACATGCATACCACACTTCAAAATACTACTGTATTTTGGAACGGAGAGAGTAAACAAGTCATATGAAGGATGGGTTCATGCATACCACACTTCAAAATACTACTACTACTACAACTGTCCCCGAAATTATAGAAACTTGGCATATACCGCAGCATTTCTCTTGCACTCAGTCATGGGATCGACTTCTAGCAGGAGGTTTTCAGTATATAATTTCAAGGTCACTATCTAAGATTTTTTTTTTTTGCGGGGAACACTATCTAAGAAATTTAATTAAGCGATTTATCTTGTTACTAGTACTAAACCTACTACACTATAGCCAACTCACTAAGCATCTTTGCAAACAAATCTACAAGCAATCTAGTGGAGTACAATATATATGTCTTGTCATTCCCGTCCTAGTTTTTCAGTGTCAGGAGACTTGGACTGACTGATGAACAGCAACCGCCACTATTGACTTCGCCAAATAAATAATTGCTAGTGACAAGATCGACCAGGAAACACAGAGTTCATGCAAAAGAGACAAAATTTAGCAACTAAAATTGTCCCAGAACAAATATATAGCAGTTCAACCGAAGTTGAAACAGTCCAAATCATTCATGCAATTGCTCATCAAAAATCAAGTCATATGAAGGATGGATTGAGAGGCCTCCATGCATGCATGTACGCACCTGGAGTCCCGGGAAGGCTTCGCTTCTTCTTCTTCTTGGTCGCAGCCGGCGGGGTGGACAGCGAGTCGGAGGTGCCAGCAATCACGAGCCGGAGATCGCCGTCGTCTTCACCGATCTCCGGCGGGCTTCCGGCCAGGAACGGCGGCTTGCCGTGGTACGGCAGCCGGAACTCCTCTCCCAGCCCCTCCACCGTGCTGCTCACGGAAGAGAAGCTACCCGTGCACTCCCCCGTCCCCGTGGCACCGCACGCCATGGGCGGCATGCAACTACGCATGCGCCAGAACACACTTACCAGCAGGCTCACAAAGCGCCACAAAATCGACCACCTTCAGTGACCAGAATTCTGCTAGCTGCGTGCCTGCTCCTGGTGCCCTGTGAGGAGGTGGGTGAGTGATCAGTGCCAAACCGCTTGTGTCTTGTGACTTTGTGAGTGACAGTGGAGAAGAGGAAGGGGGTTGGTTGGTCTTATATTTATGCCTTCTATTCCCTGTTCAGCTTTCACGCATCGCCACATTCGTCCATTTTACCTTTCAATGGCGTTCCTGTCCTTATCGATGTGTGTCAGTGATGACTTGAGTTGAGTGTGCACTCCGCATGAATATGATACACGCATGTCCTTCTCATGCATTTTGTAATGCTTTACTTCGTTATAAAATAGGGGGATTAGCTCCTTTTGTTCTTTTGTAATGGCATCGAGTAAAATGCTAGTACTACAGAGTACTCTGAGTAATATAGCCGCGAGTACTACTGCGGAAGATGGCGGCGACGGATTCCAGAGCGTGTGCATGCGGGGCGTGCTGAGAGTCTGCTAGACCGGTTGATGATCTCGACTCACCGTTGGGCGGCTTGACGAGGCCACCAAATTAGATGGTGCGCGTTGGTGCGAGGTCAGGGCACATCATCAAGCTCGTAGGTGTAGAGCATATAATATTTGTTTTGTCTGAATTTGTTGAGTAACATAATAAAGATGCTTGTGTGCATTTTTGAATGTAGAGTCCGGGGGTTTCAACCTCCTTTTTGAAACAAAAATACTACTCCCTCCGTCCGAAATTACTTATCGCATAAATGGACAAAAATGGATGTATTTAGAACTAAAATACGTCTAGATACATCCATTTTTCCGACAAGTATTTCCGGACAGAGGGAGTAGATGTGAAGAGTGTAATCTGTAGCGGAGAGTGTCATTCGAGCTGCAGTGGTTCTTTTGTTCTAGCGTAGTTTGGATCTAGCATGCACCTTGGTTGTTGCCTCCCTCGGGATCGGTATCTGCTAGAGACAATGCTCAAGGTTTCCCGGGAGGGGAGGCATAAAATACGCATGTTTCTTGCCATGAGAGCAACTTGTGGTTAAATTGAGGAGCTTCTTGTTGCCTTGTTTTCGTGCCTAGGGGCTCCACGCCTCGTTTTCAATTCAGAGGCAGTCAATTTGAGATTTTAAAATGCGGTCACCCGATCCCCAAAACCACTCTTCTCATGCTAAATATCTTGAATTTGTACCGCTATTTTAATAGTAGCAAGTTGAATTTGATTTGCTTAAGCAAAACATATGGCTGTTTTTTTACAGTAGTACTCACGACTCAAGGGCTCTTGCTACGTTACCGAATTGATTGGCTCAGAGACCTCGGAATTGACAGGGGAATGACAACGATGATGCATGCTGCATGCTGATGATGCATGGTGCTTGGCGTAAAAAGGAGGATGAACCCAACATAGGACACATACCTGGTTTGGAGGTACTTGGTTCTGGACAAACACATGCAGTTTAAAAAGGCAAAGACAAATACCCATCCTCTTTTCT